TTGGTCGCTATTTTTTTTATAAACAATGTAGAGTCTTGTTAAACTTACTTAATTAAAAAAACTCTAAGCACTTTTTAGCTCACCTGTCACAAAGTGACATGGTGGGCTTTTGTGGTCACTTTTCGTCTGGCGTCCGTAAACTTTTACTTTAAACGACATCTCCTCATGAACCACTAAGCCAATTTCATCCAAACTTCACAGGAATGGTTCTTTAATTGTTACCTTTAAAATTGAGCTTAAATATTTGGCACGAAACATTGTCCGATAGGTGTGTACCAAGTTTGTCAAATAAAAGCTCTGGGGTCAAATTGGCCCCGCTCCGGGGATCATTGATTTTCCTTATATGTATATAGTAAAAACTTAAAAAATCCTCTTTTAAAAAACCGAAAGAGCCAGAGCTTAAATATTTGGCATTAAACATCTTCTAGTGAGTGTGTATCAAGTTTGTTCAAATAAAAGCCCTTGGGTCAAAATTAACCCCACCCCGGGGTCATTGATTTTCCTTATATGTAAATAGTAAAAAATCTTCTTTTTAAAAACTCAAAGAGTTAGAGCTTAGATATTAAGCTTGAAACATCTTCTGCCCTCTTCGAAGCCCTTGGATCAAAATTGTCCCCGCCCCGGGGTACTGATTTTCCTTATATGTCTATAGTAAAAACTTAAAAATCTTCTTTTAAATAACCCATAGAGCCAGAGCTTAGATATTAAGTATGAAACATATTCTAGTGCGTGTCTTCCAAATTTGTTCAAATAGAAGACTCAGGGTTAAATTGGCCCCGCCCCGGGGTCTGATTTTCCTTATGTGTCTATAGTAAAACTTATAAAATCTTCTTTTAAAAACTCCATAAGCTAGATCTTAGATATTTATTATGAAACATCTTCTAATGGGTGCCTACCAAGTTGGTTAAATAAAGACCCTGGGTAAAATTAGCCCCGCCCCAAGGGCCTATATACAGGTGAGCAATTTCAGGGCCATCATGTCCTTCTTGTTTTGTAATTGAATAATTATGTAGATATCTAAAGATATGTATGTTGTACTTAAAGATGTAACAATGTGTGAGTTTGTTTACCCTTGCCACCGGAAAGAGACCATATTGGCGAGCATGAAAATTGAAGGGTTTGTTACCGGGATAAGGATGTAACAACTCTTAAGTGAAATTTTATATATGTTCATAATTATTTTCTAAAACAATTTCCAAACATCCAAGAATATGTTAATATGTCCTGCAAAATGTTTATAAGCATTATAAATATTCACTACGATATGTGCATTCATTTTGTATTGAAAATTGGCTAAGATATTATGGAAAATAAATTTTTAATTACCTGCCTTTATTTACATGAAATGTAAATTTGGTAATATCTTTACAAATAATGATTTTTGGTATTTGCAATTTTCATAAAATTTCATTAGAACATCATATTTATTATAAAAACAATTAAATCAAAGCACAGAAGGCGCTGAATTTGTTTGGGTCTCAGAATGTCAGAAATGTGAAGGTTGTGAGATTATAAACAAATTTGTTTTGGTATAGTGCCACCAATGCGTTTTAATTGTAGTAAATTGGCTGTTAGACTAATTGCAACACTGATATTCAATTCAATGTTTATTTGACTTAAACAATTTGAAAAACAAAGAGTTGCCTTAACTGGAATTTGAACTCCAGACCTCTCGCTTCCTAAGCGAGCGCGCAAAACCCTCGGCCTCGGTTAAGTTATATGTTAACGGCCTGAAGAAAACCGTATTATTCTAAATTAGGGTTTGTAACTCTTATTATTTCGACTTTAACACAGATGTAAATAATCATGGAGCTTACTATAAGCATGTATATCTATAAAGAATAAAACAATATTAGAAATCTTCGACCATTCGGGAACTATTTTGCTTGAAAATTAATGCGCCTGTCATTTGACCATCTTTACGCAGTGATCTCCCCTGAATTATTCGGCGTTAGTGTACATATAAAGGGAAGTAACTGCTTCAAAAAAGCGGACTACTTACGGCATTTGCAATTAACAGCATCAGGGTCTGAAATTTTGCTACCATTAATTGTTTGGTCTGACGACCCAAACAAATAAAAATCAGTTAAATTGTTACCTTAATAACAAAAGATAATGATGAATAATTAATGTTCATGTTTAATTGTCCTCCGCCTGTTTAAGGTATTAGGACCCTAATGGGCACTATCAGGAACTAAAGAAATGACATCATACATTGTAGGTCAGATGTATACCTTAAAGTACGCCTGTATGCAAAATTTAAACAAAGTTTACCGTACGGAAATCAAGTTATGGCCACTTTTCTGAACTCAAGCTAGGATGTTATGAGGGCCCTTTTTTAGAAATGAGGAACCTTTAAATAATCTGCAATAACATTCTAATGAAAAATGTTTTCCCATGAATTTTTGGTAAGAAACAAATAGTACCATTCAGCTAACAATCCACATAAGCAAAATTATGGTTTCTACTTAAAATTTATGAAATCTGTATAAAAATGTTACCCTACCCCACCCATTTTTACCACATGTCTGACCATTTTTCTACTAAGGGAGCCTAATTCAAAAAATTCTTAAAATTTACCCAAATGAGTGCCTGTTTTCAAAGTTTCCCTAAATTTTTTAAAAAGTATATTGGTTGATCTTGTAAAATATGAAATACTTTTACCGTCTAGTTTTGATTATATTACACTTTGAAAATATCAGGTACCATATTTATTACTAGATTTAGCATAATTTAGCCAATAAATACCTATATAAATTAAAAATTCAAAATTAAACACTTTTTTCTTTCCATATGGGACATGAGAGATACATAAATAATGTTAAAAGAAAAAAAGAAAGAAAAAAAAAGTTGACCCTTCTGGGGATTGAACCCATGGCCCTCATTTTCAATGTAGTTAACAGTAATTCTAGCCTATTTGAATACTCTTCAACGCGGAGGTAATGCATTAGGGTGCTAATACCTTAAAGAAAAAGGGGGATAGTAATAGGCCCCGTCTGTCTGTCTGTCCGCACTACCAAATAGGGATAGGGGGCCATCTAACTGTAAACAGAACAAAAGAGAACAATATAATTCATTCTGTAACAATAGAGTAAGGGGCCATTGGCCTTCTATTAAACAATAGAAAATTACACAAGAAATTCCCCCTTATTCCATTTAGGTCGGATGTCCATCCGTCCGTGCGTCCATCCGTCACACTTTCGTGTCCGGTCTATAACTTTGTTATTTATCAAAGGAATTTAAAATAACTTGGCACTAACTTTTGTTATAATTAGTAGATGTGTCATACGCAACAACCAGAACCCTGCCTCCAGGGTCAAGGTCGCATTTGCTCATTCAAGGTCAACATTGAAGGGTATATGTAGTGTCCAGTCCATAATTTTCTTAATTTTGAAGAATATTTGTAAATACTTGCCACAATAGTTCAAAATGATAAGACAATGTATCCTGCCCAACAACCGGTCACCTACCTTCAAGGTCAAGGTCACACTTTGAGGTCAAAGATTAACATAGTCTGTTATAGGACATATTTTGTGTCCGGTCCATAACTTTTTCATAGATGAAAAGATTTTGAAATTACATAGCACAAATAGTCACTATAATAAGACAATGTGTCATGCGCAACACCTGCACACCTACCACCAAGGTCAATGTCACACTTAGAGGTCAAATGTTAACACACACTTAGAGGTCAAATGTTAACAGAGTGTGTAATATGGTATATTTTGTGTCCCGTCCATATATTCTTCATCAATCAAGGGATTTTGAAAATATTTGGCACAAACAATCACAATGATAAGACTGTTTGTCATGCGTAACACCTGTGCCCCTACCTCTAAGGTCAAGGTCACATTATGAGGTCAATGATTTACATATTCTGTTATAGGGTATATTTTTTGTCCAGACCATAACATTTTCAGAGATCAAGGGATGGATTTTAAAAATACTATGCACAAATAATCACAATAAAAAGATGATATGTCAAGCGCTATACATGGGTCCCTACCTTCAAGGTCACACTTAGAGGTCAAAGATTAACATATTCTGTTATAGGGTATATTTTGTGTCCGATCTATTAATTTTCTTCATAGTTAAAGGATTTTGTTAAAACTTGGCACAAATAATTACAATGATAAGCTTATATGTCATGCACAACACCTGCACCCCTAAGTTCACAAGACAACCACCTCCATGGTCGAGGGGTTAGAGTCGATGACTTCTAATCCAGTTACCTCTCTGGCGTGGGTTCGATCCCCGGGAGATGCTTTGGTAGTTTAGCGCGGAGGAAGGAAGTCCAGTACTGGTTTAACTCTCCAGGAACGATGGTTAGGAAACTACCCGCCTATATGAAATACTGTTAGGAAAAAGCGTAAAAATCAAACAAACAAAATCAAAGTCACACTTAAGGTCAATGCTTAACATGATAGATTTTTAAATTCTGTGTTTCATTTTATTTCTTTAGAAAAATTATTGTTGCATTTCTAGATCTAGCATTGATCATAATTTTGGACTAAAAGTCTTGAGATCCATACCTCAATCTTTTGAAATGGCACAATTTTATGCTTCGCATAAAACTTCCCTGGGGCGGAGGACGTTTCTAACTCTGTTACAAATTCTTGTCATGATTTATGTCACCCTCTATTATTGTTTACCAAAATTCACCAAATAGGGAATAATTATTATCCCAGACTTCAATAAATGAGATTCAATTTAGTTCTGTATTTCTTTTACTAGATATTTATTTAAATTCATCACATAAAATGATTATTGAATCACTTATATCTTTAAAATACAGTTATTGTTATTCTCTATAAAATGAGTTAGATTAAAAACGTCTTAGTATGAATAATTTGACAGAAACACAATCTGACAACAATTTTAAAATATCGATATAATTAAGATAAATTGTATATATTATGATTACGATTCAAGCATAACTACATGTATAATAATGTGTTTAAAGCAATTGTTTAATTTATAAAATGACTTGTACATTACAGATGTGGCTATAATATAGATGTAATAGATCAACAAAATGGCAACAGGAGGTCAACCACAGACGCCAGACAACCGTATATTTTTGTTTCGGTTACAAATACTAGTCATTGATGGTGGCCTCCTGGTATTGAGAAATATACTGGACCAGTCCCTGGCATCTCAATGCATAACGTTCAGTGCTTGCTTGAAACAAGAAAAGTCAACAATAACCCATTTGAAAAGGCATGGCGTTATAACCCCGGTCCAATATGTCCTATTGTTTCCAGCGGGTGGTAAAGTTCCAACATCGTCAGATTTGGACATCACGCTGATTATTTGTCTTCTTAGAAACCTGAAATGTTTTGGGTTAAATAAAAAATTTGACTGGAGGGCAACACCAGCGCCAACCGATGTAACAATGGAAGCAGACATATGTCGGTTAAAGGATTTCCGAAATAAAGTAAGTACATTCGAAATGCAATCTTTAAATTCCTGCCTTGGCAATATAGAAGAAATAAAAATAAATGTATATATTGGCAATATAAATAGCTACGTATATTTAAAGTAATGAAATTCTGCAGAAGTTTAACTTAAAAAATAATTTAATCAATCATCATACTTAAACACATATGATAGTACAACATTGAATAGTATCTAGACAAGAACTTATCCGGTGTGATGCATATTTTCACAGTAGCTGTGCAGTCATTTTGAAAAGGTAAAAACATGAACATCTTTAACATGAATATTTTAGAAATTTTTTATCCTACATTTCCGACGCATTTTGTTCGAGCTATCATAACTGTCATGAATAATTCCGGAATTTAATTCATGTCATGAAATAAGCAATCACGGCATTATCCGAGATAATATTGTTATCATCAAATTGGCTAAGTAATTATTTCTTTCATGAAAATAATTCAAATGAAACTGACATCATGACCAATCTAAGATAACCCTGCTGCCATGTAATTACTGTCGTCATGAAACAATCCTAGATAATACTGCAGTCACGAAACAATCTGGGATATTCTGCAGTCATTACACAAGATATAACTGAGATAAAACTGTCGTCATGAAACAATTCGAGATAAAACTGTCGTAAAAAAGAAAACGAGCTAATACTATCGTCATGAAACAATTCGAAATATTACTGCGATCCTGAAACAATCTGAGCTAATACTGCCGTCATGAAACAATTCAAGATAATACTGCCAAACTGAAAAAAGAGAGATAAAAATGCCTTAATGAAACAATCTAAGAAAATACTGCCGTCTTGAAAAAATCAGAGACAATACTTACACAAAAAAAACTTTCTGAGATAAAACTGTTGATATAAAACATAGACAATAGTGCCACATGAAACAATATGAGATAGTTCTGAAGTTATCAGAAATAGAGATAATACTGCCGTCATGAAACAATCAGAGATAATTCTGCCGCAAAGAAACAATCCCACATAATACTGCCGTCATGAAATAATCCGAGATATGACTGCAGTCAAAAACTTATGGAAGTAATATTGCCGCCATGAAACATTCCAGGATAATACTTCCCTTATGGCACAATCGGAGATGATACTGCAAACATGAAACAATCAAAGATAATACTGCCGTTAAAATGAATATTTTTTTTAATTTTTTACCCGACATTTCGGATGAAGATTTTCGAGATATAACTTCTGTCATGAAAAATTTCGGGCCTTTATTCATATCATGAAATAATCCATCACGACATAATACGAGGTGTTCATACTAGATCTATCATCAAAAGAGCAAAGATATACCACTGTCATAAAAATAAACCAAGATGAACTGCCGTCATAAAATAATCCGAGTGGAAACTGCCCCAAAGAAACAATGAGAGATAAAAATGTCGTCATGATACAAATTCAAGATAATACTGCCGTAATGAAACAAATGGAGATAATAGTGCCACAAAGAGACAATCCGAGATAATACCGCCGTAAGGAAACAATTCGAGATAATCCTGCCGCCAGGAAACAAACCGAGATAATACTACAATCATGAAACAATCAGAGATAATACTGCCGTCATAAAATAAATGGAGATTATAAATATACGCAAAGAAACAATCCTGTATAATACAACCGTAAGGAAACAATCAGGGATAATACTGACGCAAGAAACAAGCCGAAATAATACTGCATTCAAGAAACAATCAGAGACAATAATGATCTCAAAAAACTATCAAAGATAATACTGCAGTCATAAAACCAATAGATATAGCACTGCCATCATGAAAAAATGAAAGATAATATTGTCGTCAAGAAACAATCCAAAATAATATTGCCTTCAGAAAACAATCCGAGACAATGCTGGCGTCATGAAAGAATCCGAGATATCAGTACCGTCATGAAACAATAGATAATACTACGTCAAGAAACAATCAGACATGATACTTCCGCTATGAAATACTCTGAGCTAATACTGCCGTCATGAAAAAAATCGGAATAAAAATGCCGTCATGAAAACAATCAGAGCTAATACTGCCGTCATGAAACAATCAAAGGTAATACTGCCGTCATGAAAAAAATCAAAGATATAACTGCCGTCATGAAACAATCAGAGATAACACTACCGTCAAGAAACACTCCGAGAGATAATACTACCCTCATAAAACAATGCTAGATCATACTGCTGCAATGAAACAGTCTGAGATAATAATGCCGCCATGTAAAAAAACGGGGTATTACTGCAGTCATGAAACAGTTCAAGATAATACTGCTGTCATCAAACAATCCGAGAGTATACTGCCGTAAAGAAACAGTCCAAGACAATAATGCAGTCAAGACATAATTGGAGATATTCATGCCGCCATTCATCAATCCGAGCTTAAACTGCCACTATGTAACACTCTGAGATATAACTGAAACAATCCATGATAAAACTGCCGTCATGAAACAATCCGAGCGAATACTGCTGTCATGAAACAATCCGAGATAATACTACCGTCATGAAACAATCCGAGATAATACTTCCCTCATGAAACAATCCGAGATAATGATGCTGTCATAAAACAATCCTAAATCATTCAGCCGTCAAGAAAACAATCCGACATGACATTGACATCTTTGAAACATTCCAAGATAATACTTCCCTCATGAAACAATCAGAGATAATTCTGCAAACATGAAAATATCAAAGATAAAACTGCCGTTAACACGAATATTTAAAAAAAAAATCTGACATGTCGGATGAAATTGTTCGAGTTATCATTACTGTCATGAAATAATCCATAACGATATGATACGAGGTGTTATTACTATTATCAAATATGCAAAGGTATTTCTACTATCATAAAATAATCCGAGATGATACTGCGTCATTAAACAATACCTTGATAAAACAATCCTAGAAAATACTGCCGCCATGAAACAATCCGAGACAATACTGCCATCATAAACCACATAGAGATAGTACTGCCGTCATAAAACAATACTACATATTACTACAGTCATAAACAATCGGATATAATAATGTTGTCAAGAAATAATCCGAGATATTACTGTAGTAATTAAAGAATTTGAGATTATACTGCCGTCATGAATTAATAAAAGACATTGTTGCCATCAAGAAACTATCCGAGATAATACTGCCATCATAAAAAAGTCCGAGATAATACTGCAGTCATGAAACAATCCGGGATATAACTGCCCTTAAGAATCAATCCGAGATATTACTGAAGTCATAAAATAATCCGAGATATAACTGCAATAAAGAAACAATCCGATATAATACGTCCGCTATAAAACAGTCCGAGATAATACTACGACATGAAATAGTCGGAAATAATACTGCCGTCATCAAATTATCCAAGATAATACTGCCGAGATATAACTGTTGTCATGAAATCATCCAATATATAACTGTTGTCATGAGATAATCCAAGGTTTTAATGCCGTCATGAAACAATCCGAGATTTTACTACCGTCATGAAATAAATTGGGATACAACTACAGCCATGAAATACTCCGAGATATTACTGTCGTCATTGAATAATCCTAGATATAATATCGTCATGAAGTAATCTGATATATTACTGCCGTCATGAAACAGTCCGAGATTTAACTGCCATTATGAAATAAATCGAGGTATAACTACAGTCATTACATAATCCATGATATAACTGCCTACATGAAATAATCCGAGACATTACTACAGTCTTGAAACCATCCGAGATTTCACTTCCGAAATGTGACAATCAAAGGATTTACTGCCGTCAGGTAACAATGGAAGCATTTACTGGCGCCATGAAACATCGAAGCTTTTGATGTCGTTTTAAACTTCTGTAAGGTTCTTCTGCAACCATGAAACAATCGGAGCTTTACTGCCGTCATGAAATAATCTGAGATACTACTGCAGTCTTGAAACAATCCGAGATGTTTTGAGTGATTTGGTTCCTAGTGGTATGGACGTGTAAAACCGCATTTTTTTTTTGTACTTTCTAAATGAATTTTCGTCTTGCTTTAACACAAAAGCCCTTTTGACAAAATCATTAAGCATACTGTAACCCAACGAATATTCGCGACCAATTAATATTCGCTTTATTCGCGGATGGTCACGAAGCGCGAATATTTGTTTGTGCGAATAAGTCCGCACGATTTCGCGAATAAATTGGAGAGACATTTTTCATGCAAAGCTACTTGACCGGATATATTCGAATTTTACGGGCACCTGTTAGGAAGTAATGAATTGTTATGAATATTCCCATAAAGAAATAAAAACACAAACTAAGTAAACTACTACTACAAAATGTATTTTATAAATATCAAAAGAAATAATTTGCCTCATGTCCTCAAGTCCAGTGACCTCGACCTGTTTGGAGCCTATAAAATAAATGTTTGAATAAATCGTATGACAAAAGTGGGAAAACTATCGAGCATCACAAAAGGCTATTGTTTTCTGGATCCTATAAAATAATTGTTTGAGTGAATTGTTAAGACAAAGGTGGTATAAACCTATTGAGCATCACACAGTGAAATACAAAATAGTTTCATACTAGTATCGATTTTTACCCGACAAACTTAACAGCCTGTATAGTTCAGTTGTTTAAATTGGTTAGATTGCGGACCCATATAACATAATTTTCTCGGTGTTGGTTCGATCCCTGATTGGAGAAGGTATTTTTTTATGAAACGCTTAAATTGAATTTCTTAAAGACTTTTCTAGATAAACTGTGTTCCATAGTCCAGTTACCACTGCATTCTTAGGGTTTATTTTTTATCAACCACCCTTTTAACGACATGTTTAGAAATGAAGACGAACGATGCGTACATGTACATATATAGAGAAAATGTTTTGCTGAATTGTGATCACAATTCACTTACCAATACAATATAAGGCTAGCGTATTGTTAATCCCATTTATGACAGCAATAATGACCTCAATTATTGAAGATTAATAGTCGGCTAATGGATTTTACGGCCCATCGGACTTT